ATACTCCTTATCAACTCATTATAAATTAGAGAAAAAGCATTCTTTTGAGCTTAATTGACTAGTTGGGAAATGAAATAAGAGAAAATTAAAATTGTTACTAATATTATGTGAAACCATGTGGAGGCGCCACGTATGCACATGTGGTAGTTAACCAAGGCAAGACAAAGAAGAAGACAAGAATTGTCTACTTGGCTGAGACTCAATCTCCATCGAAGTTCCGCTGCTGAAGTGCTCCCTCTATTTTGACCATTAAATGACATATTTGATCTTCTCTTTAAAATAAATATAAAAGAAAGTATTAAAATTTAAAAATTTAAAAAAAAATTGCACATAAGAGTCATATTACTTTTCAAAACCCACCTGACTTTCATAGCATTTTATTCCCTAACCTATTTTTCATTACATGTGAGCCCTCAACCAATTAAATACATTTTGGTTCCTCAGAAGAATGTTTTCATGATAGATAGTATAGCATTGGACTCCCTTGTTCTGGTTTCATCCTCACCCTAGTTTTCTTTTCATTTTCTCCAGCTTTTGACTATGATTGATCACTTGCCAAGGAAGAGGATGACAATTTTTCTTTTATGGACTCATTTGTAAATACAATACTCATAATTTTTTATTTTATTTTAATATAGAAAATTAAAATTTTTTCAGGTATCTATGTGTAACTAATGAGGGGGTGGGATCCATGTGCTTTATTTTGGAAGCTTCTTTTAATGACTTATAAATCAATAATTAGACTTAATTAAAGAGGATAAAACTATTGGATATCATATCCATTAATCTTACATGTGATCACATAATCACGCTAGTATACTTAACTTCAACTTAAATTATTATATATAAAAAATTGCATTAAAGCACCCTTTGTTTAAATTAGCAAGTTAGAATCAAACTTTTGGAAAAAAAAATGCAAACCGATCTTCAACCTTTCTAATTAGCTGCATACTTAGTCCTCAACAATGGAAACAAATCCAGTCATTAACAATCTTAATGTCTTTCTTTAAATCTGTGGGTGTCGTCCAAGTTGATTCGTAAAAATAATATGGAAGGGCCACATAACAATCCGACATCTATATATTTAGCCCCTGTTTGGTTTAATTAAAAATCAAAAGTTTAATTGATTTTTATAAAAGTTAATGCAATATGTGATTAAAAATGAGTTTGAAAAATTTGATTGTCAAACATGAAATTAGTTCCTATCATTATAGACTCATAGTGTAAATATATAAATGGAGGACCAATTAGCTAATAATTATCACGTGGCTACCTTGATTTATCACGAAAGGAATGACGTGGCATTTGAATCCTCTGTTTAGACTTAGGGTGCGTTTGATTACAAGTAGGAAAATTACATGGAAAGAAAATGAATTCCAAGGAATTGAATTACCTAGAAATTGTTTTCATGGAAATTGTAAATTATTGTGTTTGATTGTATAAATTTTTCACGTGGAAAATGTTGAAGTAAAAGTATTTTTTGATGTTCGTTTGACTTTGTTTTACGTGGAAATTGTCAATTTTAGGGATATCCTCTTTTACAATTATTCCTAAAATTTGTTCCCATTGCCAACAATTAAAAAAAAAATAAAAAAAGCCAAAAAAAATAAAAAAAAAGGTGGAAAACCAAAAACCACCTATCCCCTAGGAAAAAAAGGTGGAAAATCACGCTTTAAGGTGTTGTACCTAGAAATTCATGGAAAATCAATTCCCTGGAAAATTTTGTCAATCAAACAGGCCAAAAGTGGAAGTTGGAATTCGAATTTCAAGTTCCATGGAAAATTTCGTGCAATCAAACGGGGCATTAGAGTTTTATTAGTAGTAAATTAATGAGAGTTATGAAAAATCCATTAGAGTTGGTAGAGTATTTTAGGGATTTTTGAGTGAGTGGGTGTGATTAACTGACAGAGTGTGTTATTTTTTTACTGTATTTTCGAGTTAGGTTGACTCGACTTGAAAATTATTACTTATTACATAATGAAATAGCATACTAAACTATAACTGACAGAGTGTGCTATTATCCTTGTTTCGTTCCCATTTTATAAAACTTATTTTCAATTACATATTTCCTTGATTTTTATAGAACTCTACTAAAAAAATTGATTTTTAGCCAAACCAACAGGAACTATGTGTTATTTCGACATAAAATACAATAAGAACGACACCATAATGATATTGCATTTAATTGCTATATATATAGTATTTAAACATCAACGATGATTTTGTAAGTTCAACTTGAAATTAAACATCAGAATTTGCAAGTTTATTACAATTTATATTTGTGTCGAATTCAGAACTTTCAACGTATTTTTGGTTCATTATATTTTCTGATGCACGAAACATAATTGGAGTTATTTTCTTTTAATGGGGCTCAAATAAATTTATAATGCAGATTTCTACTGTGCACAATCTTCCAGTTTCTGCAAATTCTTTGACAATTATAGATTCAAGTTTATTTGATAAAAATAAAATTGTACAATTCTTTCCCAAGTAAAAAATCAGTTTTATAATGTTATTTTGAAACTAGAAGTACATATACTATTTTTCGATATTTCGAGTATTTACATTAAATACGCACACAGGCATATATCAAAGCAAATAAAAATCGTAATGACTAAATATAAAAAAATTTAAAACTACGTGTTGTATATATCAATCGTAAATTTATTATGTTTAAATGAATACAGTAATTGATCTGAAGAGTTATAACTATTTCTTGCAGAAAACTTTCAATTTATGTAAAACAGTTCATTCATCCAAACGCTGTTTCTTTCAAGGAATGGGAATTTCATCTTCTGGTAAGGCGGGGAGGTTCAAGTCGAAGTCGTGAGCCACGTGCACGTTGCTGTTGCAGTGGCTGGAGGTGCTGCCGTCGGATGTGATCACATTGGTTTTCTTGTTTCTGCTGATGACGCCTTCATAGTGCCACCGCATGTGGCCACCCAAAGCCTGGCCTGTGGAAAAAGTCTTGTAACATTTGTTGCATTCGTGAATCCTACCGCTTAGGTTGAGAGGAGAGATATTATAGGCGTTGGTGATTGCAGTTGTGGCGGCGAATTGAGCCCTATCGCGGTGGCTGGTTTTGTGGCCGCCGAGTGCTTGGTACGAGAGAAAACACTTGCCGCACACGTCACATTCGTGCGACTCATGTTTCTGGCCCACCGGAGAGGCTATGACTGTAGGATAATAAAACGGGTCCGTCGATTTCTTGTCATCACCGATGGAGGCTAAAGCGGACTTTGTTCTTTCACTAGTGCTAGCGACGGCGGGATTTACGTCTTCTCTGATTTCAGCGTCGGCTTGACTGATGGTTGGACAAGCAGAGGTGGCGAACTGAGAACAATCACTGTGACTTGTTTCTTGGTCACCGAGTGCATGGTGTGACTCATGTTTCTGGGCCGGCGGAGGATAAATTTCAATACCATTCATGACATTGACGGAGGCTGAAGCGTAGATTCCTACGGTGGTTTTTGGGGCCGGCTTCCTCCATTCCACCGTGGTGGTTGGACGGGTCCAGTAAGCATTGTCGTAGCGTGAAAGCTTAAGGAGGGCGAGGGCTGTGTATTCAACATCCGTTGGTTTACGATAAAAATGCGATCGCCTTCTTTTGTTGAATGATTTTAATCCTTCAGTAACCATATTCACTGTGTGAAAAAAAAAAAAAAAAAAATTGATTTGTGGAAGAAAGGAAGGAAGGATTGATTTCAGATTTTGAGAATTATAGTGTGAGAAGTAGGAGAGTAGTTGAATATATTTATAGGGTTTTCAGGGGTTGGAGTGTACTTAGGATTGGGATTGATTGAATATGGTAAGAAATTCAAATCGTAATTAAGGAATACCGTTACATACGTGGCATTATTTGATCAAATTTCCTTAATTGGGTCCTAACCATATCTTTTTCTCTTCATTGCAATCTTAATTACCGAAGATGACTTGACTTTACACTTACTCAATTGTTTCGCTAATATAAATTTTCAATTTATGGAATTGTTATTCTTCTTATTTTGTATATCATATAAATAAAAATTAACTGAATGCTATATGATATAACAAAATTAGTTTTGTCGATGCGAGTTGAATTTGGATGCCTACAGGTTCATTTCAAAGCGACCAACAATTTCGGCACGAAACAAATTTCCCAACTATTTATTAGCATATCATTGTACATGAATCTTGTGACGTTTTTTTTTTTTAGGTGATGTAAATTTTTTCATTATAATGTGTTCATTTGCTTATTGTAATGAAAAAATTTCTCCATAATTAAAATTTTTAAATTCACTTGCTCTGTTGACCTCTTGATGTAATTCTGGAGGTTAGGCTCATTTCTTCCTCCCGCTTGTACTTTGATTTGATCGATAAAATCTAGTCTATCCTTCTGATGGTTTTGATGCTAAAAACAATTATTTTAAATGTATTCTTTATTTAGAAAGCTCCTTTTAAGTTGACTTTGTATTTACAAATTCAGTAATAATAGACTTGATTAAATAGGTAAAAAGTGATAGAATCTATATGTTATCGAATCCAATTTTAAGTGTCACACGGCAAGCTTCAACTAAACGTATCATTAATATATATCCTATTTCTCTTTGTTAGATTACTATAGAAAAATTTGCATAGTTGGTCAATCTACCTTTTAAATACCAAGTTAGATTCAAACCTTTGAAAAAGAGCAAATTGATACAAATGATGTAAACGGGTCCAATCTTTGTTAAGTAATAGTTATAATGTGGTTCTCATGAATATATATCTCGCTTCAACTTTCTAAGTGCCCATCCAAGTTGAGAAAATAGATAAACGAAGGATCAATTAGCTCATTTTGAGTGTTGGTGACTTATGTGCTACTTGTTTAATAAGTTATGACTGATGTTGCAATTATGCTTCAAGAGAAAGAGATGATAGATTTTTATGCTAATTCTTTTACAATTATAAGACGAAGTTTTAAATTTTTTGTTTAGAAATATATACAATGCAGGAACAGAACAATAAAAACAATCCCAAAATAACAGAGTAAAATTTGTTCGATTTAAAGATTCTATTTCCTGTACCAACAAGAACCCTAGAAATTCTTTTCTAGAGAGAATACATGAAAAATCAAGAACGTAGACAATTTGTATATTAGTTTATATATTCTACCGGACGCTGTTTCTTGCAAGGAATGGCACTGTCCACTTCCTACTTTTCTCGCCGCAGTAAAGGGTCAAACCAAAGTTAAGTTCCGGTGAAATTGAGAGATTCAAGTCGAAGTCGTGACGTGTGCGACCATTGCTGGAGGAGCTGCACTCGGAAGTGATCACGCTGCTCTTCTTGCCGTCATAGTGCCGCCGCATGTGGCCACCCAAGGCCTGGCCAGTGGAAAAACCCTTATTGCAGATGTAACATTCATGAAGGCTACCACTTGGGTTGAAATCAGATACATTAGTGATGATGGAGTCTTTGGAGGAGGCGGCGGCGGTAGTGGTGGTGGACCGAGGTCTACTGCGGTGGCTGGTTTTGTGGCCGCCGAGTGCCTGGCATGACGGAAAAGACTTGCCGCACACGTTGCACTTGTGCGACTGCTTCTGGCCCAGTTGAGTAGTAGAAGATGGTTCAACATTCTTCTTGTACTTTATGGCTTTGATGGCGGCGGGAGTGGTGGTAACGGCATCGGCTGGGGGACTGAATTCTTTAGCTTTGGCAGTGGCGGGAGTGGTAGTTGGAGGGTCTTGAGATAGCATGATGAGGGTCAAGGCTGCGTATTCATCATCCGTCGATTTTCTGTAAAAATAAGAACGCTTTCTTTTCCTGTTCAAGTCCAAACGAACACTCTCAAAATCATAGTATCGAAGACCCGACATGGATGAACTTAGTCTCTCAAGAGCCATATTCACTGTATGCAAAAAAAGAGTTGATTGATTTCAGAATTGAGAACGAAGTATGAGCGAGTGGTTGTATTTATAGGGTTTGTGAGTGGTGTACTTGGGACTGAATATGGTAAGAAATTCAAATCTTGGCAGTTCAAATCTGCGGTATAATCTTTAAATTGATTTGCAAACGGAATTGTGAAGTAAACTTATGGAAACTATTACTGTAAGTGGTATCATCTGGTCAAACTTACTATCTTCATGAAAGATTTTGGATCTTTATTTTACACGCTTATAAATTTCCAATTGAACTTTGATATTCTTCACATTTTGCGTACCATTCAAATGAATGGGATGCGATATATAGTATCAAAAAATAGTTTTATCGATCCATAAATGTAAAATGAATTAACGAGATATGCATAAAACACCCACGGACAGATTAAATCCAAATGCTGATCATTCCACTATTTAAATTCGTTTTCCTTATCATTCAAAATTACATCATTGTTCAAACTAAAAAAGACAATGAGGACAAATGTTCTTCAAAAGCAAACTTTTACTAATTCTAACTAATAAATTGAACTTTCCTTAGGAAACAAGTAATCACGACAAAGATCCGTGGAAAGAAACAAATCAATGATTAGACGCCTGAAATTCATTAGGGTGCCGGGGGCACACCGGTCACATGCTAAAGTGTCCATAATTCGACCTAATCCTTCTTTTTTTACTGCGTCCCAAACACAATTGTAAGCAAATGTTACGTCTTGAAAGACATTAGAATAATATAATCTCTCATTTCACTTATTGTCCAACAAATTTTACAACGATATATAATTCTACCTTCAAAACCTTTGCTGGAGACACAACGGTAACTCTTCCAGATGAATAATAATTGAGCTTTGCTTTTAAGCACGATCGTCGCTAACATGACTTGGAACTTCTTTTTGACCTTCTAGAGGCATGTATTGTGCCATTATAGCCCTGATTTCTGAGTCCATGTATGACTGAAAATACAACACGAGAAAAGTATAATAAGATATAGATATTTTCTGGTTCAGGATTAAGCAAACAGAAATCCTTCAATTATGTAATAATAGACTAAGAAACACACTTCCCAGAGACGAAACATAAATAAAGAAATGAAACAGCTTTCTTATATTTATTGAAGGTTCCAAATTTATGTATTCTTAAAAAGCCTCGACATGACTTGCAACAAAAGAGGGGTACATAAAAATATATCCGATAGCAACTTCGTGTTAGATCTATGTCTTTGCACAACATTTATGAAAGCAGTAATGGGTGAACCCGCTAAAGTTGCAAGAGAAGAGCTTGAATACCAATTTGCAGGCAAAAGTTCATAATGAGGGTACCTTCAAAACTTGTCCTTTTACCCTCCCAACTTCAAATCAAATGTTTAACACAAGAACAATAGGATCTCTCTCTTCCCACAGAAAAGAAAGAATCTCATAATCCTTCCATCTCATAAATTGGTTAAAGCACAGTCCAGAAATTTTAATCAGGAGTTATGGAGTTGATAGATGATGATAATTTCAAAACCATTAAATTTTCAATCGAATTTGAAACTTAATAATGCTGAACATTGTTGATTGTTTCTGTAGAACTACGATATGAACGTGTTTTCTTCTAACTATGCTTAAGAATTAATTAATTTTTAGACAAAGTAATAGAGGCCAAACAGCCGAACAGAGAAAGTGACAATTGATATTCTTGCCATAACATCAAACTTTGATGGTCAAAATTAAAAGAAGAAGCCATGATTAATACACAAAAAGTTGTGAGTAGAAAACTTACCCTCAATCTATATTTGTATACGAGATACCCCCCACCAGCAGCCATTGCCAATCCAATCAAAATAACCCAAACAGCAACCCATGCAGATTTTACTTCAGTAGCTCTCTTACCTGCACATGCAAACAGGAATTGGATATGCACTGTTTAAGCAAAAGCAAAGCAACAACAATTTGCAAGTGATCTCACTTATGCAGGTATCATGGTCCCGGATATACAACAGGTCCCCGCTACAAGTGCAATCATAACTGCCCCATGTATCCTTGCAACTGCATTCAGGGCATTGGCAAGCTTTCTTTTCTTTACATTCATCAATATCTGTATGGTTAGAAGAAATTATACAAAAACAGAGGTTAATAGGAAAACAATTTACATAGTTCAACAAGAACTGCTTGAACTGTTAGCTCCAGTATTAATACTGATAGAAACCTGATCTGTATTGCACTTTTGTGCATATATTGACTGGAAAACTGAAAGGAATTACAATAAACTGAGAACCCAACCCCTATCTTGGCGCAGCACTTATTTCCCAAATACCACCAACACACTAACCAACCAATGAGCATGAATGGGGGTCTATCTATCCTTTTGGCTTGTTCGTAAGAGAGGATGAGATAGTATTGGACAGTAACATGGATGTGAAAAAAGTTGAAATCGTGTTTAGTATAATGTCCAGTCCTCTTGAGTAATGTGTACCAAAGATGCACTATATATCTAACCATCCATTCATCATCTTATTCTCAATACACAGTTTTATAATGTTTATCTAGCCTCCCGTTCATGATTATATTCAAGCATAGTTGCCATTTAAATAAAGCTTAATACGTCCTCCAAAATTAGCATGTCAAGTTATTATGTCAGAACTACGAGAGTCTTTGGCCACAACTAGCTAGTCGATATGCATAAGAGATAAGAGCTAATCCTTGATCTAATAAACTAGGGGTCAGCTACAAGAATCAGTTTCACAATTCAGTTCAAAGAAAAACTCTTACCTTCACAACTGTTAACACCGTCGCCTTTAAATCCAGGAGGACATTTGCATTTTCCTTCCTCATTATCCTGTCAAAATATTTTTGTAGATATAACGGTCTCAGTATTGATTAGTTCAAGAGATGAAGATTTGGAATTGGGAATTTTCAAAGTAAATGCTCAAAACCAAGTTATCGATTTTAGAGAGAATCCCGAGATGGACTCTTCGAAGTCCATGTCAGTAAGTCTCCTCTTACCTTCCCTTTTTTCTTAATTGATATCATATCACAGATACTTCATAGTAATTTAGTAAGGGAGAATTTAAGCAAAATGAATGAATAAATACTGACCATGCAAGCAGAGAAAGTAATTCCATTTCGAGTTTCATGCCAACACCCTCCATTATTGATTATGCACCGCCCGGGCCCAGTTGCTGCAAATGGAAAACTTAGTTAAGATGCAGTCTAATCACAGTAACTTGAGATGCTTGTAGAAGGATTATTTAAGGCTAAGATAAATAAGAGGCATGATACTTGGGGAGATATTCAAAGCAAGAATCTATTATCCCATCCATGTGCAACCGAATTTTGACTGGGTACCGAGTTAGGTGAATTAACAATGTAGGAATTGATGTAAAAAAAATATTTTATCTGAGCTGAGAATCCTCGTCAATAAGATGCATTAATAATAATCGATTTACATACGAAGCACATGCTTTAGGGAAGGCTATTTTTGGGAATGAATTGTCTATTGTAAAAAGGCCATTATTTGTGGATGACCAAACAAGAAACTGAAGTCATTTTGAGTATTGCTAGAGCACAATGGGAGAATTTTTCCTGGAAGCGTAAGAACTGCGTGAAATCTCCACAATGATACGTACTCCTTATCAGCTCATTATGAGTCAAGAGGAAAGCATTCTTTTAGATATTTAGACAATAAAATAGAAGATTGGAAGATTCTAAATGCTCAATGTCGAATCAGTAGAATCATCCAAAAGAATTTCACTATCTGATTAGCAAGGCTACTCTGATCAACAGAATTTTCAACCAAACTACTTTACAGTCTCCAAATCTGTATGTAGATTTCAGAATGATGTGTACAAGATAATATCCGATGTGATTCCAAATTTTACATGTGATAAATGTTAATCATGTAAAGTAAGTGCAAAATATACTGAGAAACATAAGAAAAGATCAAATTATAGCTACTCTTATACAAGAGATGAGAATGCCGAGTTAAGATACACTGGAAGGATTGAGTTCACGAGCAGTGGCTAATAGAAAATTTTTCCTTTCCTTTCAGTTTTCAGTTGATCTTCATTTATAAATTACTTGCTTTTTGGGAAAGCTTAAGATTTAAGACCAAAAATAACCATTGATTAACCACATATATTTTAGAAGATTGTAAAATGAAAGTTTTAGAGCTTCGGAGAAGTAACTACATACTTCACCCTCCTCTTCATGGAAGCCAGAAAGACGGCAGATGAGAGGTAGAAGTTATCTATAACAAAGAGAAAGGAGGACATATAACTATAGTAAAAAGTGCAAATGAGTCCCAAAGCTTAATTTTCTTGGCACCACCATCTCAAATCTCTTAGGTTATGCTAAGCATCGTGCTTATATAAATAAGCAAATAAAATGTAAAATGTGAAGTTAGTAAGATTTTGAAACAGCTTATACTAGTCAAAATAAACTATGACTTTGTCTTCATTTAGTTCTTGTACCATTCTTCCTTTTCCAAATAAAAACAAATAAATTGTCGCCCAAGTTATTGCTATTTGCTAGTAGTCTTTGAAAAGACATGATGTCTATTTTTCTGTATTGGACTGCTCGGCTGGACTGCTCGGCTGCTTTGAATTTTTGACCTATTTATTTATGCAGTATATCATTTTATTTTATTTTTAATCTATAAGCAGCCAAAAAAAAAAAAAGACATTTTGTGCATGTGATATTACATTCCACCTCGTGTCATAAACAATTTATATAGTATAATTTAATCCATCTCACAATAGATGGTACCATTGTACTATACACGCAAGTTCACTGTGCACCAAAATTGGAGATTGTTCGTTGATTCTTGAAATTTCATCAATTTTTCTATTTGGTTAGTTCGTCATGGTTATAATAGTAGACGAAGAAGACTTTGTATTAATTGTTATGTGAAGGAGGACAAAAATTGGACACGCACAAAAATTCTACATTAACATACTCCATGATAATAATAGACAGGTTGGAAGACGTGAGATCACCTTATTGAATTAATTTCTTCGTTATAGTGAAAATCTACAATGCATGTAACTAAATTGCATACCTGTACAAGACCTGTAACCATCCCCCTTAAACCGCACACCATTGACCACAGGGCATACACACACTCGTCCTCGAAATGTGTCCTAAGAATGTAAAATTTTTAGGAATCAAACCAACTAAAAATGCAAAATAGCTAGTTATTAATAAAGCACCTTGCAAGCTGTAATATTTGCTGTCTTCTCTTGCCAGCAACCACCATTATTATCCAAGCACTCATTTGTTTCAACATCTGCAATTAAGAAGGTAATCATTTACAAAAATATATTGAATCTCATATTATCCAAAATGTTGCAATATTCTGGAATTAAGTAACTCACCACCACTCAAACAAACAGATGGTTCTGTAGTTTCCTCAAAACCAGAACAGATAGCCTTTAAAACAGCAGCTTTCTCCAACTTCCCTGCAAAGCTCATATATCAGAGAAAATTATATGTATGACAGAAGATGCTTTAGTAAACATACAGACCTCGATATTGTCGACTGTTGACAACAAGGGTGGGCAATATGGTTACATCACCACGAGATCCTTTCCCAATCTACGTATCTCAGATATTTTGCATCATTACCATCACATAAGAAGTTTTGATAAAAACATATAACAGAAACATTTATGATGCACTTTCAAAATATTTCGAAAAAGATAAGTTCAAACACTCACCTGAGCATTTTGCTCTTCTTTCAGGACAGGATTGTCCGAGTCAGCATTAGGATCACCCATGCACTTTTCAATCTTTTTCAGATCAAGCCCTGCACGTGAGCGACAGACATATAAGTATTCATCGATAATGATTAAGATTAGTGAGAGGCGAATAATTACCTAAAGATTCAATAACACTGTTAGCACATTCCTTGTTGTATTTCTTTTCCTTCATGGGGCATCCAATTTGAAAATCAGTAACATAATCCCACCAAACCCATGGCTTTTTAGTTTCATTGGCCACTATAAACACACATAGCTGCCTCAAGTTTTCAAGAACTACATCTTTACCCTCATAACCAGAGCTGAAATCTTGTTCAGGGTCTGGAGCACAATATCTTCCATGGTTGATACATTGGGACTTGCATTGTTTGCTTATGGTGAATGCCTGTGGGCAATACCAAGTTATATAATGTGGTGTAAACTGAGTATAACCACCTTTCTCAAGAATTTGGGCCGCACCCTTAAAATCCCTAACAAACTCCATCAACATATCACACTTAACTCCACACTCATCATTGCTGTTAGTCCACAGTTCATATTCTACTCGATCATCCGGGTGCGGAACAGCCTCTCTCCAATCTAGATTCACATTTACCATATCGCCTCCACTGATTGCTTTTTTTAAACTTTCACCGAAACTTTTATCGATCAGTGCGGAAGGTATTGTTATATTCGCAATATACTTTAAAGATGCGTGATCCTCTTCAGGTGAGTCCATGGTTATTAATGCTTCCTCCATGTTATCAGCCACTAGAACTGCAGCAGCACCAGCATTCTGGGCATTCCAAACCTTTAGAGCAAAAAAGCAATCTGCATTGCGGAAGGACAAGGTCCAAATGCATCAAAAGAATTATAAAAAAGTTTCCAGTAGAAATAAAGAAAACAGTGTAAATCCTGCTTCAAAGGGAAATAGAGAAGCTGCATTACAGCAAATGAAAGACCATAAGCAGTTCTTCGAAAAAGGAAAAAATTATCAGAAACAGACAACATAAATCAACTTCAGATTCAAAAAACATGATATACAGTAAGTCTCATAGCACAGCTTCCACATCAAGGCCTCAATCTAAACAAAATCCAACTCAAAAGTGCAAATAAATAATTTATTAACAAAATAAGCTGATATTGCAAAACCTCTAGCCCAAGAAAGATAAACCAAACTACCGTGAATAACTGACTTTACCAAAAGGAATCCTAATCGATAAATCAGCAATAGCATGGAACTTTACCAGAAGGGTATATCCCAAACAGCTTCAAAGTTAACCTCAAACTAGCAAACTGGCATTGACTAAAATCAGTAAAAGGCGATCCCAACAAATGATACACTTAACTGTTAAAATTTTGCTGGAAATTTTGTATTATTTGGTGAATGGAAAATTAAGCCAAAATTTAAATCACTTAAACATGTGAATTATTGGAAAAGTGCGTATAATATTATGAAATATTCTAAAAATTATTTGTCTGAAAAAGTGTCTTTCTATATGAAAGATTATGACTTTTGGCATTATCATTTTTCAAGAGACGTGTCTCTTTAAATATAGAGACTAATTCCAATAGTACGTCTCTTCCATAGTTTGTGTCTTTTGAGGCAAACCTTTTCAACATCTATATATTAACCCCATATGTTTGGATTTAATCATTCAAGAATTTCAATTCATTCTATAATTCATATTATTCATTGCATGTCAAGTTACTTAAAATACTTTGTAGAAATGATTATGTCTTGCTTCAAAGTCATGTTTATGGTAGAGAGAGAATTTCGTTCGAGTTCGCTGGTCGAAGTCATTTGAAGTGCTCCTATGGTTTGACGTGATCGTTTTATCTTAGGAGATAATTGCTCGAAAACTGTTAGCACCGATGCGGGTCAAATTCGTCTTAAGGATCAAGTGTCAAACACTTGCCTCGATCCTCGATCAAAAATTCATCCCTTGCATTTTTCTTCCTTCATTTTTTTGATTTCTCTTAATTGTGGTTTGATTTCAGAAACTGATTAACATTATTTACATATTTGTTCTGCGCGGTTTGATTCAAAAAATAACTTGCTTTCGTTCAAGAATAGAAAGAAATGAATCCATATTCCTGCATTCGGATTCAGTAACTATTATTATTTTACTTCTCAAATTCTATATAAATCGAAATTACATTTCGATTTCAAGCAAATAAACGGTATACTTTTGTCAATATAATATGCACATAATCGGTGTATTCTCCAACATTAACTTCTAACAAGGAGACGCACCACAGATCTATATATATCGTAAAGATCAGAAATTAAGCTCAAAATAGAAACATATACTACAATCTAACTTAAAATTACTCAAAAGGACGCGTGTACCTCCGCGATCAACAAGAACAAAGAAAGGCAAAGCTCCAGGCTTTGACTTGAAAGAAATCCCAAAATCATCAAAATCCTTGCAGCCCTTTCTATTTTCCTTCGGGTACATCACAGTCCCTGCCATGCTACCTCCATATTGTGGAATACCAAAGTTCCCAATTGCACTGTCATGCGTGCCCTTGATGCTGTCTGGTGACGTCACCCTTAAGCTGTTCTTTTCCACCACGAACCGACCCACCACTGATTCAGCAAAAATCAACAGAAGAAACCCCAGCAAGATTGCACTTTCCGATCTTTTGGAACAACCCATTTGCTCGAATTTCCCGAAAAGGAATCAGTGATATTTTGTGATTCCTTCCTTCTTCTTTTATTTGTGAAATTTTAAATAAAAAATAGTCTAATTTCTCGAAAATTTTCTGTCCGTGTATTGTGGGTCAGAAATCTGAGTTGAGTGAAAGGGGTCAAGACGTCTAGTTGACAATTTCGGATTATAAAATGGGACAGTCCTCCCCCTTTACTGAAAACAGTAGATTAAAGAATCAAGAAAGGTCATTTTATAATAAAACATGTTGTATTAATAAAAAATGTTTTAATAAAAATAAAATAAAATAAAATAAAATAAACAAGTAATTTTAGTATTAAAATAATGTGGCCAAGTAGTAATGGCAATTTATCCCGCCGGACCCGACCTGCGCCCGCCCCGCCCTGCCCCGTTCGGTGAATTTTTTTCATTTTTTTTTTAAATAAAAGGTTAGGATTCAACTTGTTTCAAATAGAAGAATGACGTATTTTCTAGTTATACAAGTTTTATCAAACTTGATTAATTTATATATACCATTATGATACTTTGTCAAATTGATATATATTGATAAAAACAAATATAAAAAGATATAACATGTTCAACTGAATAAATTTAAAAATCTATATATTGTCATAAATTAAAGTGTGTGGGGTTACAACTTTTGTGACAATATTAAAAGAAAAAAACACAAAAAAATCTTGTCCATCCTAATAATCAATGTTGTGTACCAATAGCGACCATTATATTTAAGATTTGTAGTGTATATTTTGAATATTAACTTTTTCAATTTGAATGTTATCCGTATTTTATTGAATTCGAAATTAAAAAAATAAATAAATAAATAATTTAAACGGGACAAGAAAACTGTCCCGCCCCGTGGAAAGTGGGGCGGCGCGGGGTGGGGCGGGGTTTGGGAAGAGGCGCCCCGTTTCCATCACTATGGCCAAGCATGATCTATTCTAGGTTGTGATGTTTCATGTGTTTTAAATAGTACAAAAGCATTTCACCAATCCGTGCATTTATATGCTTAGATTGGATGGTATTGTACTCTTCCCAATGAGACAAAATTAGAAAAAGTGAAAATTCTTTGACAGATGTACAAGCCTATAAAGATAGGGTTTGCCATTTTAGATTATCAAACTCAGCTACCAAGTTTTCGACGCCTATATCATGGCATGAGTTTGGCTTTTTTTTAATCTCATTTTTTTTCTTAAATTTAATTTTAATCTTACATTTTCAATAAAATAATTTTATATACATGAATTCATAATTTTTTTCCTACTTTTTAATTACATAGTTTCCAAATCAGTTTCACAAGCTTTACTCTCGAGAAATCTTTACAAAATTGGGACAAAGTTGCAAATTTTTAAAATATGCAAATAAAGATATTAACTATTAAAGAAATAAAACCCATTCTCTCTCTCTCTCTCTCTCTCTCTCTCTCTCTCTCTCGTTTGTGATGTTTGCACTAACATTAGCCCTTTTTGGATTTAGCTAAAAAATCAAATTTTTAATCAATTTTAATAAAAATTAATGAAATGTATAATTTTGAAAATTTGATAAAATTTACCGTTCCATAAAATGTGTAGTTAAAATGAGTTTTGAAAAATGGGGTCTAACCATGGATTTCGTTTATGAAAATTTTGCAAAATTTGCTGTTAGGGTAACTAGTTGATCTTTAATCTTTAAAAAGAGAAAGTTGGTATTCGACCTTTATTATAGTCGAACGATCCATCCTTAACAGCAACTACAACTACTTAAATTTCACTTAGATCAATAGTAACAAATTTTGTCGATCTATGGTTTTTAAAAAAAAAAATATCAAATTATATTTTATTTTTCATCAATATCTAGAAATTTGAAGTGAGATATGCTTGCATAAAGGTCAAGTGATGATTCAACGGAGATTTTGACGCTTTATGTGATTGGAAACTGATGGAGACTATAAAAAAGGACCAACTTGTTCATTTTCTGAACCTGGAGACTTAATTGTGTCTCAGAAAATAGGTTAGGAACCAATACTGCAATTTTCCCTTAGTTTAATGTTGACCACTCACCAACTTATAACACCATTTTCCAAAGAGGTGGAAAAATAGGTCTTTGAATTAGTTGACAAAACATATTTGCACGAATAAATTAGTGTTTCAGAGTTAAGAAAAAGCCTATAATATTCACATAAAAGATATAACAAGACTAAGCTAATATTTATTTCCAAGAAATTTCAATTTCCGACTACATGAAAAAATTCAATAGTTTGGAATGACAACTTGATACAATTAGTGATAGATATGTAATACACGCCGCTCAAATAGGCAATACAAGAACAACATAACTTGAGTACCTAAACAATAAATAGTCGTACGTGTCGAGTCGGGATGGATTTGCAGAAGATGGATCGACAACGCCTGTGTCTGGGCAACGAGCCCAACATTTTTTTTTTTTTTTTTTTTTTTTGGTTAATTTCAGAACCCAAATTTTTTTTTTTTTTTTTTTTTTTTGGTTAATTTCAGAAAATGACAAATAAATGTTAAAAACGGTCCGTGTGGGCATGGAGAGCCAAAAGAGTAACTTCCACAAGCCAAAAAGAGAATGAAAATCTCCTTTTAAAAGCACAGTGTACATGCAAAATCTATACTGTACATTTTACAACCAATAAAGAACCTGAATGTAAGCTACTATGCTGTGTTTCTTCAAAACTTACAAAGATCTGGAAAGAACTCTACATTTCTTTCTAGTTATTTTCGTTAATCGCCTGAACAGACTTTCCATAAGGAATCTCATTGCTTAGACTTTCCAAATTATGCATTGTTACTGGCATAAGCCATTGCAGTCCTCTCAACATGCTTAAGCAGAATCCCATATATTTTGTTTCTAACCCTTCCATAAGCCTCATTTGCAGAATCTTCTAAATTATGTGAACCTCCTCCGAACCCATCCTTTGTGTTCGGGTTTGGGGGTTTGCCTTCATTATTTTCAATCATGTCTAACCAGTCACTCACCCTTTTAACCTTATACATCATCCCAGCTATGTGACTGTCAAATTCCATTGACGAGCTTTTTCTTTCGACTTCATCCAAGTATTTCTCCACACAACTCAAAAATAATTTCTGACATTCGTCCTGCAATGATGTAGCCAGGTCGGCAGCAGAACTTAGATTACTTCCTCTCGTACACTCATGCTGGTCATCCATTTCAGATGACAACAGAAGAGGAACATCAACGCTGCTTCTATTTTTTCTAATGACACGCGCACCTTTTGGTTTAGTACTCCTAATTGACGGACTCAATTTCTTCACCGTGGTGGTGGCAGCTATTTGATGAGGCAGCGAAGTGACGCTCACATAGTGGGGAGAAAGATCAAGAGCCACGGCTGATTTTATCCATGTAGCAGCGTTTTTCTTTCTTTCGAGAGCAATATTCAATGTTTCCTTGATTGAATTAGTCCCATAGAAATCAGTCTCAGATGTTTTGATTGGACTTATGCTTGTCAGTGACTGTATTATCAGCCTGCTATGCAATAAATCATCTTGAAGATCAAAAAATTTATCGACATAAGCTTGCAGATCATCTCCTGCTGCTGAATGAAACTCTGAAAATGTGCTGTACTGAATAAAGGTTAGATGAATAATAAAAATGATAACAGTTGAACGTAAGAGAAATTGTCGTCACACCGATTGAAAGAATATACAAACTCATTGAACGATACTTTATTTCTTGAAATCTCTCTTTTGATTCAAATTCTGCTGTGTAATGGGAAGAAAAGAAGGATCTGAACAAGATTGATAAAAGGGCAGAAACCAGAGTGAATTGGAAGGCAAAAACACAGAATAAAGTCCACTTTCAATTTAGAGCTGCTATAAAAATAGCCCGATTATGAAGATTCTTATATGATTAACATTGATAAAAATCACGATAATTCAACGTCTCTTCTTTTTGCCTCTTTCAAGACAGTACCACTACCATGTCTTGTTTTCGGAATTTTTTTTTTTTTTTTTTTTTTTTTTTTGGGGGGGGGGGGGGGGGGGG